TGAAAAGTCACCATTGAGATCCCCGCAAAGGCTCGGCCCTGGCATCTTCATGGAAAGAAAGGTCCCCTGTGGCTCTTTCCCAGATGTGTTTTCAATTGCCCACAGGCTGGAAGATTACTTTGTGGTCTCCTGTCCGTGTATGGAACAGAGCTGACCCTGCTCTGTTCTAGATAAAAGAGGTGCAAGTGATCTTCCTCTCCCAAAGCTGGATTTTGAGTCCTTTACTGCTTAAGGAAGGGTTTTAAGGGGGTTTGGAGAGGTAAACGCAGAGCTGGTTGGGAGAAAATTTGCAAGTGTTGGGATAGGGAACTTGGAAAATTTAACAACATTAATAGATCCTGGTGCAACAGGCAATGGGATGCGTGTGCACAGTGCGAAGAACAGGGTGGCAGCGGGGGCAGGACCGAAGCTGTGTTATGGTGTGTTCGAGAAGCGGAAGTCAGTAGTTTTCAGTGCAAGAAGCCTACAGATGCCACTGCCAGCTCGGTTCCAGATGGCAAAGAGGTGGTGGTTGAAAGGATTGTCTTGTGCCAAGAAAAGGAGGTGGCTGCAGGTATCTCGCAACAAGGTGGGTGGTGAGATGCAGGCTGTTGGGAGTCCAGCGATGATGACTCAGCTCTGGCTTGCCTTTCCCTCTGCCACCAGCCTTGGGATGAAGATAAGGTCGCGGGACAAAGAAAGAGGCGGTCATGGGGGAGGAAGCGGGAAGCTTGAGTAAGGGCTGGGCTTCTGAAGGAGGGGAAGTGGGGTGACGTGTGGTGAAGGGAGAGCAGGTGGCATGCAGGAGGCCTTTGAAAGATTATGAACCAAAGCCTCTTCAGACCCTGGGCAGAAAATAATACTGCAACAGCTGTATGTTCAATTTTTTGAGTACTGAGTTCTGTGGGCGTGGCTTGGTGGTGGGGTCATGTGATTGAGTGCGCTTAGCCATGAGTGACCTCAAGTTGGCCACACCCATTCAGTCACATGACCCCCAGGAAGCCACACCTACAAAGCTACGCCCACAGAACTGTTAGGGAAAAAATCAAATACCACCAATGCATCCACCCATCCATTTTCTATTTCTAAATCTATTGAATATCTACCGTATATCTATACCTATCTATCGTCTATCGATCTCTCTTGCACTCTCAGCCAGCTCCCACCTAATTTCTCTAAATCTGTGCTTTTCTTCTCAGGCTACGCATGAAGACGAATCTTCGCAGGCTCTCAAGCAGTGGATTATACCCAGTCACGGTAGAGCAAGTCACACGGCATACATGTTTTATTCTCCAAGCAAAAGTTACCTATATATTGAGCCTGCATCAGAGATATTAAGCTGCGGCCACAGTGAGCCAGTTCGGGTGCGTTATATCCTTAATCGAGATGGTGAGACAGACGACGAGATTGTCTTCTATTACATGGTGAGTCTTCAGGTGAAGGCTTCATTCACAAAGCATGTTTGCTTCGCTTGGTTAAACAGCTATCAATCAATCAATCAGAAGAGAGCTGGAAGGGACCTTGGAGGTCTTCTAGTACAACCCCCTGCTCAAGCAGGAGATCCTATACCATTTCAGAGATCCTATACCATTT